AGCAGCAGCAGCAGCGACCGACCATTAGACAAGAAGCAGTCGTTGTGATCGTGGTTTAAACGACATACATTTGCACTTGGTCGAGGACTTCACTCAATTAAATCTGTCTGAATGAACTGACAAACTGGCTGGTTGGTCTGCTGTTGCTGATGCCTGCTCTTTGCAGTGATGCATTAGCTGTGCACTGCCATCAACAGCACAGACCAAACATTGCTCACTAACGACATTTGCAGTTGCATTTTTCAGCCAACATTTGCCTGTTGAGTGACACCAGCCAAAGTAGAACGAGAGAGAACGTTTACACATTTATCGATATAATATGCAATGTGTGCAAGCAAACCTACAGCCACCATTAGCAGCAGTCGTTAATTAAAAACGAAAAGTGTCCCTGGCTGGTGGTCCTTCTCCCCTCCCCTCCTCCTCTTTCATCATGATACAAGCACGTGAATTGCTGATGAGCAGCTGCCTGCTCAATGAGTGCATTAGTGCACTGTGTGACAAGTGTTGAAGACTGGTGGCTGGTGGGTCACTCTCTTTCCTCAACAGTGCAACCAACGTCCTTCATCCTTCTCATTTTCACAGTTTTCCTCAAGACTACAAAGGTGAGAGAAATGGCTGCAGATTTGCCCAAATCAATCTCCTTCTGACTACTTATTAAGGTGTCTCAGTGCCTCAGTTTCATCTGCTCCAGCTCAAACACGACTTAGCACACCACAACAGACGACAATCAACAAGTTCCCCTTGTGAGTGCAGTGTGCGTGCACTGAAAAGCGTCGGCGGCAGAAGCTAAATCTTTACAAAGGGTTAAGTGTGTACTCGTGCTGCAGCATCAATGTGAGTGCAGCTGTGTTTGATGTGATAAGACATTGGAGAAAGAGATGTGCCTGCAGAGAGAGATGCAGTGCAAATGCCACCAAAGAAAGCAGTGTGCTAAGACGTCGAGACGACAGTTAACTACTACGTGATCAACACGCAGTGCAAAGCAGCAGCAGTAGCGCTGAGGTGTGCTGAGCAGTGACATTGCTTTCCCTCTCTCTCAGTGTTCATCTGTTGTGCTCACCATCACCATCATCTGATCATCTCCATCAGTTTCATTGTGTGCAAATGAATCTTCTTCCTCACCTATCGACTATCCATCCCATCCCATTCATCATCTAAATGAACTTACCTTGAGGTCCTTCAGCAGATTAAAGTCCTCTTGCAGCTTCTTGCAGCCCTTCTCCAGCAGCTCGCCAGTTCGGAAGACGGCGGCGTACGTCTGCATGTCCTTCTGCATCTTCAGACGGAGGTCCGCCGTGGAGATGGAGCCGTCTGAGTATCGAAGCTTGTCCAGATTGGCAATGGACGCCTCGCCGGCATTCGCCGACAGCTCGCGAATCGACTCACCCGGCTCGTTCTCCTCGGCGATGGTGTTCGCGCAGGCACGACCAAAGACGACAATGTCGAGCAGGGAGTTGGCGCCCAGGCGGTTGGCGCCGTGCACCGAGGCGCAGGCAGTCTCCCCGGCCGCGTACAGCCCGGGCACCACCTTGTCCTTCCCGTTGATGTTGGTGATCACCTGACCGCGGAAGTTGGTAGGCACTCCGCCCATGTTGTAGTGCACCGTGGGCAGGACGGGGATCGGGTCCTGCGTCACGTCCACACCGGCAAAGATCATCGCCGTCTCTGAGATGCCCGGCAGGCGGAGGGCCAGCTGTTCAGCAGGTAGGTGGTGCAGCTGTAGAAAGACGTGATCCTTCTCAGGACCAACGCCGCGACCCTCGCGGATTTCAATGGTCATGGCACGCGAGACGACGTCTCGGGACGCCAGGTCCTTTGCCACCGGTGCGTAGCGCTCCATGAAACGCTCACCCTCGCTGTTGACGAGGAAACCGCCCTCACCGCGAGAGCCTGAGCAAAAATAAACAGTGATTAGAATAGGACCAATTTAATTTTAAACGCCGCCTACCTTCAGTAATTAAGCAGCCAGCGCCGTAGATGCCGGTAGGGTGAAATTGCACAAATTCCAGATCAGAGCAGGGCAGTCCAGCGCGGTTCACCATGGCGGTACCGTCGCCGGTGCAGGTATGGGCAGAGGTGCAAGAGAAGTACGCTCGGCCAAAACCCCTAAAATTAAGAATAAGTTAGCTTTAAAAAGTGCCGTAAAAACGCAAGAGTAAAATATTACCCAGTGGCGAGGACAGTGTTCTTCGAGCGGAAGCGGTGCAGTGTGCCATCTTCGAGGTTGAGGGCAATGACACCGACGCACTCACCTCCTTCCATAATAAGATCAAGGGCAAAGTACTCGACAAAGTACTTGCAGTCATATCGAAGCGACTGACCGTACAGTGTGTGCAGCAGCGAGTGACCAGTTCGGTCGGCCACCGCACAGCACCGATGCGCCTGACCTCCCTTGCCGAAGTTGTACGACTGGCCGCCGAAAGCACGCTGGTAGATCTTTCCCTCCGGCGTGCGGCTGAAAGGCATGCCGTAGTTCTCCAGCTAGTGCACAAGTGGCGAGAGAAAAAGTACAATAAAGATCAGTTAGATCAGTGTGTACATGTACATGTACTTCTGGCTGTAGTGTTGACGTCAGGCACTGAAGATGCGCCGATGCTGAGATGCCTTACCTCGATGATGGCCTTTGGGGCCTCTCGTGTCATGTAGTGGATGGCATCCTGGTCACCCAGCCAGTCGGAGCCTTTGACGGTGTCGTACATGTGCCATCGCCAGTCATCGGGCTCCATGTTGCCGAGGGCGGCGTTGATGCCACCTTGAGCTGCTACGGTGTGAGATCGAGTGGGAAAGAGCTTGGTGATCACCGCCGTGTTGAAGCCCTTCTCCACCAGGCCGAATGCGGCACGAAGGCCGGCACCACCGGCGCCGACGACGACCGCATCAAAGGTGTGATCGGTTATTTTGTACGACGACAACTGGACAAGGGGGCGGAAAGAGGTTGGGTTAGTATTTTCTTTGGTGCGAAGCAAAACAACAACAATCTAAATTAATTTCTCGCCCACAGACACACTTACATCGCCTGCCTTGCCGTTTCTTCTTCCGCTGGTGGAGAAGTTTCTCTTTGCACCGGTGGCCTTCCGCTGACTAGTTGCTGCCGTCGCCGCCGGCGTGACATGACGAGCCGCGATGCGGGCACTGACCGGCAGAGCTTGATTCAACAGACGGGTCGCCTGGAGGAAGTTCATGGTGCAGCCTAACAAAGAGCAACGACGCCGCTAATCGATGCAATGGAGGGCGGTTCTTAACAGTTGGCCGAAACTCTTCACGGGCGGAGATTCTGTCTTCGGTCCAGAAGAGTCGGATCGGAGGCGATCCAGAAAAAGAGGTTGCTGAAATCGGATTAGAAGCAGTGCCTGTCGCACGGCGAGAAGGGCAAACTTGAAGCAGCAGCGGAGACGCTAGGTGGAAATAGAGCACTAACAGAGCTGCCTGGGTCAAACTAGAGACGGCTTTTCAAAATACAAATCAGGCTTTTTTGGGTTTTTTATTTTTGGATCTTCTGGATATTAAAATACCGCCACCCTCGCAGAAGATGATCATTTTAAGCGGGTTCTGATGATGACCAACGTCCGGCTAGAGCTGCAATGTCAATGTCACGTTTATGAAGTGACGCAGTTAGTTGTGGGCGATGATGCTAATACCGCCAGGCATTTATTGAAATTTATTTTTCTTCTGTAATCTAGATAAAGTGTTTTTGAATCTTGCCACTGTAATGAATAAAGGTTTCCGATTTTAATATTGCCGAAAAGATAACGGATATTATTGACAATATGTGAACTTCTCTCAACAGTAAAGCGAGAAGTGTGCTCATTAATCATCGTTAGAATGAAATGCTCAAACTTACTTTTTTGCGGATTATCTTCTAGGTTTGCGAATATGTGAGTGCCTTGAAGAGATAATTGATCAAGCCGATATTTGTGGTCATTTTTAGCGGCAATTCCTGTGAATGCACGTATTCGGAGCTTACTTGCGAAAATGTGGCTGGCACTTTCATTTAACCTCAACTGAACTGCATGTGTGTGACTATTCAATATTACACATTGAAATTGAAACAAATGCGATTTTAAGTCCCAATAGATAGAACAATAGTACAATGTTGACGATTCTTGGTTTGTTCTGGTCTTTTTGGTCTTTGAAATCGGTAAGGCATTTGGCAAAAAAGTATATAAGTAGACATGCCTGGTCTACAACTGCAGTCATTCAAAACTGGTTTCCTTTTTCACCTGCTAACTTGTTCACTCTGAATTTTCTATTCTTTTCATATCAACCCCAACCCAAACCAACATCACTACAATGCAAACTCAAAGCACCATTCTGATCGTCCTTGTGTCACTCGCCCTCATCGGCGCCATCCTCGCCGCCGAGCTGAGCGATGTGTTTCAATGTAATTCGACATGAAACTGCAATTTTGATTTCTTATCGCCTTTCATTTACAGCCAACAGCCAGTCTTCATCTACATCACAATCGCAGCCAGAATCGACACCTGAGCTTCTTCCAGCAGGATTCGCAAAGTGGAAGCGAGGAGTAAGTCAAAAATAAGGTTTTCTGTGTATGAGCTTCTAATCAAATGACACTTTCTTTTGGTAAAGATCAACTTGGGCAGAAAGATGGTTTGTGCTTTTTATACTTGTTTCATTTACAAATTAACTTTTTTGTTCTTCCAGATGTGCCAAATTGACCACAGGGTAAGTTGAATACTTTTGAGTTTATAAAGAACTTTAACTCATCACAATATATCTTTTTCTAGAATTGCGGATCTGTAAGTATACACAATTTTTCAAATTAATCTTCACTGACACCTCCCATCAACAGTTCAACGAGGCGAAGCGATTTAACCAGCAGCCAAAGATCAACTACAATGTCCTGGCCTATCTGTTGAAGGTAAGCTTCATTTTTTTGCCTTTCTGCAGACATTATCAAACTTTTTCACCAATTTTAGAACAACTTGCAAAACACGGAATCACTGGCGCCGTTAGCAGAGGATAAGTGAACATCTTAATCTGATGGAGTATCATCCTGACACGTCAAAACTTCTTCCGAAGCAACAAACAAATGANGCCTTTCTGCAGACATTATCAAACTTTTTCACCAATTTTAGAACAACTTGCAAAACACCGAATCACTGGCGCCGTTAGCAGAGGATAAGTGAACATCTTAATCTGATAGAGTATCATCCTGACACGTCAAAACTTCTTCCGAAGCAACAAACAAATGACACAAATTACTTCCATTGCTTCAGTCACTCAAACACAAACAAACACGCACACACATTTTGCCCTTTTCGGCGATGTAATCCTCCTTAAACTGATCATGACAATTACGCAATCTGGGTGATGTAACTACAAAGAAAGCCAGTAGCAGCGAATAATAAAGTGCTCGTAGCTGGTGTGTTGGAACAAGCATCTCTCTTGTTGTGTTTTGGAACGCTGTCTCAAAGCAGCAGCAGCAATGCATTCGCCTCCTTCTGAGCATGCTCCTGTCATTCACAGATTTGACTTTCAGCTGATGATCAAAACACAACACAGGCGCACGATGATGTGCTACTTCGGAAAAAGGTGCTGATCATGAGCTGATCCAGACCAGTTCACGCCGATTTCATCAGGATTTCCTCAATTTAAAAAACTGTCGCTGTCGTCCACCAGCAAACTCTGAAGACAGGAGCATCCTTATCGTCGGCAGTGTCGCGCGACCGCACAAAAAGAAGAGTTTTTAAACATTGATTTTTGGCGCCGCATTGAGCCGCTGAAGCCTGTGTGTAATCAAATACAGCACATCAGCGCTTCCCTTTTCACTCTTTACCACCACCGCCGGCCACCACTGATAACGACGACGACACAGTTCCACTCTTTGCACAGTGAGTGACACGTTCTCTGTACGTGTTGGCGGTGCTAGTGGCGGCCACGACCGTGGCGGCGGCGGCGGCGATGATAAATATAGCGACGGCGGCGGCAAAAGCCTGAAGATGATGGTGGTGGCGGTGGTGGTGATCATCCCCTCGAATGGTGACATGAAGAGACACATCAGAGAAAGAGAAAGGCGGGGGCACCTCTCCGTTCCACATGACTCTCTGCTTCAGTGAAAAGAAGGAAGAACAACTGTAGGTACAGTATTATTGATTAACTGTACGATCCGCTTACCTTTCTTTTATTTAAACTACTTTTGTTTCTATGTTTTCCCACTGCACTAGACGATACACTGCCGATAATCCTACGCCGTCTCACAGGCTGTGAAGGCCAATGATTTCTCAGTGACTTTTTTGTGCTGCTGTGAACTGCTGGTGCATTGCAGGTTTTCTTCAAGTTCTCTCCGCTTCAGTGTAAATACCATGCACATCATTGGCAGTCTTTTTCTGTCATTCTTCAGTTTGCCTCCACAACGTAATCGTCGTCCAATTTTCCACTAGTTATTATCATCAAGGGAACGCGTTTTATCGATCGTTCAATTGTATTATTATTACAATTGAAAACTTGTGTTTGAGTTTTGGTGCTGTTATCAAACGAGGCACTACATTCGAACTTTTGACTCTGCCCGAAACGGTCTTCTGCGGCGCAATAAACAAAAAAAAACAAGTCATGTCTTCCTCGACCGAGTCGGCCAATTCCCGCCTACCGAACCACCTGACCAATGGTCATGAACATTCCTGCAAAGATGCACACTCGATGTGCTGTCGTCGGGTGCACATGCCACTTCTCACCGGTACGTTTTGTTTACCTTCTCTTACTAGGAAATTAAAATAAGCAACATCTTTCTTGCATTTTTCCTACAGACATGTACCAAATCACAATGGCATACTCCTACTGGAAGAACAAACAACACAACCAACGTGCAATTTTTGACATATTCTTTCGCAAGAATCCATTCGGTGGCGAGTTTACCGTTTTTGCCGGTCTCGAGGAGTGTCTGAATTTTCTTCAGGGATTTTCGTATTCACCCGAAGGTAGGTGATCACACTCTTTTCTTGGTTACCAATTTACCATTTTCCTTTTATGCTCAGACATAGACTACTTCAGATCAGTTTTGCCTCCCACTGCGGAAGATGAGTTCTTCGACTACATGGCCGGCATATCAGCAAATGGCATCAAGCTGTACTCAGTTGCCGAAGGCACTGTGGTCTTTCCCAAAGAGCCTTTGATGAGAATCGAAGGTCCTCTCGCAGTTTGTCAACTTCTGGAGACGTCTCTACTAACTCTGGTCAACTTTCCTAGGTAAATACTTTTTGAACAAGGAATTTGTTGACAAAAATATCATTTTCGCAGCCTTGTGGCCACCAATGCTGCTCGGTACTGCATCGCAATCGATGATCGCAATATTCAACTGTACGAGTTTGGCCTTCGACGTGCTCAAGGACCCGATGGTGGGCTGTCAGGTTAGTTGGAATATCTAGACCACCACTGCCTGCTTCTGATAAGAGTGCGCTGTGATTGACATCTTTCTTATGCGATTACAGCCTCCAAGTACACCTATATCGGCGGTTTCGATGGCACCAGCAACATGCTGGCCGGACAGATGTTTGGCATTCCAACAAAGGGCACACATGCTCACTCTTTTATCATGTCTCATGCACCGGTTAATGTAGAGGAGTCCACGGGAAAGGTAACAGCTGTGGAGACAAACACTTCAAAGTACTAACCGCATTTTCCGCACAGTACATGCTCAAGTCAAAGAGAACCGACGAGTTGGTGGACTTTTACCTGATTGCCCTCGAGTTCAAGGCGCAGTTGTCCAAGGTGCTGAATATCAGCGGCTCCGAATCGAGCAGTATTGAATTTGTAAGCAAAAGATTTGTTGTGGTGAACACTTCTCAGCTTCGTGTGTCATTAACTCGCTGCCATCTGCTTTATCATTTGTTTCGCGTTTGAAGATTGCCTTTATCTCCTATGCCCATTCCTTTCCCAATGGCTTCATGGCGCTCGTCGACACCTATGACCTGATCAAGTATGTACACTTCTTCTTCTTTTCACCGACTGTTTCTGAACAGATTTGTTTCTAAACTCCACCTAACCCAACTCTAATTCCGCAAGCTTGTTTTTCTTTAACCTTAACAATTTCAGGCTTTAACTGAATAATGAATACCTTTTGCTTTTTTACATTCTCCTTCCCTCGTGTGTCAATTTCTAACAATTGCACTGAATCAGCAAAGAAACTGGCACTTCTGGCCAATTGAATCATGTTGCTGGCCACTTGCCTGACATTCTTGATAGCTCTTTCGGTAGAAACAAACCGTTGTACGTATTTCCTCACTATTCAAATAGAGGGAACCAGTCACGAAAAATATCTGTCTTTGAATGTTTAGATAGGCGTCTAGAGCTACTTACACAATTAATGTTAGAGAGTCTCTGTTTTTTTGGACCATCGATTTACTCAAATCTTGATTTGTCGTTGTTTTGCTAGCTTGCTTTATTCAGAATAACAAGCAAATCTTTCGTTTTCAGAGATAACTAATGTTGTTTTTTATTCTCCTTTCAGATCGGGAATTCTCAACTTTTGTGCAGTTGCCCTGGCACTGGACAAGCTGGGCTATCGAGCCGTCGGCATTCGCATCGACAGTGGTGATCTGGCCTACCAGTCCATTGTGGCCTACAATATCTTCTCTCGAGTGGCCAAGGAGTTCAACCTCGACTGGTTCTCCTCGCTGACGATCATCGTGAGCAATGACATCAACGAGGAAACTATCATATCACTAAATGAACAAAAGCACCGAATCAATGCTCTGGGCATTGGCACCCACTTGGTTACCTGTCAGAAGCAACCGGCGCTAGGCTGTGTCTACAAGGTAATTGGCTTTAAAATGTTTTAAAGTTTTTTAACTAAATAATTCTAACTCTATTTCAGCTGGTCGAAGTGGGCGGAACAGCCTGTATAAAGCTGTCTCAAGACGTGGAGAAGGTAACCATTCCATCACGAAAGAATGTATACCGCCTCTACGGGCGAGAAGGCTTTGCACTGCTCGACCTGATGACCAACACCGATGAGGAGGAGCCACAGATTGGGCAGAAGATTCTCTGCCGACACCCATTTCAGGAGTCGAAGCGGTGCTACGCCACTCCGAGCAGAGTAGAGAAGCTGCTGCAGGTCTGGTGGGCTAATGGAAAGGTCAGTGGATTAGGAATGTACCTGCATAAGCACAAAGCACTATCTGTTTTTTATTTCTAGCTTCAACAAGACATTCCCTCATTGAATGAGATTCGCGCTCGTGTAAAGAAGTCCCTCAGTCAAATTCGGCCTGACATTAAACGCCTGCTGAATCCTACCCCCTATAAGGTCTCAGTCACTGACAATCTGTACCTGTACATGCACAAGCTGTGGCTTGAGAATGCACCCGTTGGGGAGTTGCACTGATGAGGACAGGACACCGAAGACAGATCGTCTCAAGTTATTTTTTCTTTGCTCCAAACGGGCTCACCAAGTCGAGCTGTGCATCAACCGGTTTTTCCTTTTTTCTGTCAGACAAAGTCATACCGAACAGTCCATTGTTGTTTTTCTGAGAATTTATTCTTTACTTTATTTATACTGTACTTTTTACTCACACAACTTGCGGTACACACAGTTGAAAGATTACAGAATCTTATTAATTCTGTTGTTGCTGTTTTTTACATAACCAAACATCATAAAATGCATTTACTTATTCTCCTTTGAGAATGTTCTTGAAGCTAAAATTAGCTCATGCTCACGTTTCTGTAGATGATTTGAGTGAATTTAATTACCAGCCAAGAAATTGAATGCTAATTTGCACCGGAAATGCTCATCATCGATGCAGCACTGAGTTCAGGTTAATTGAGTTACAGTTCATTCAAAAAATCTTTTTTGAAATATTGAAAAAAGCCTGAATTGTACGCAAAGGCATTCAGGTTTCAATTTAATTATATTTGTGGGTGCATGCTCCGATGTTTATCTCGATCTGGAAGGGAAAATAGTTTGCTTATGATCAGCTTTCCCTGCGGTTCTGTCCAATGGAATGTAGTGCTTTTCGTGCTCAATGCTTTTCACCAACCGGGTCTCAATGTTTAATGAAATGCAAAGTTCCATTCCTTTTCTCGTGTGGTTGCTGCTTTTTTGCATTCTTCAGTGTTCCAGAGCAACCCCAAAACTTACGCACCCCTTTGAAAGCCTGCCAGTGTCTGTTAACTTATTCCCCAGCTTTCTCCTTTTGCTTCACTGAAACAAACATTGATTTGCAATTAAATTAGTACACTCTCAGTTTGTGCTGCTGTTTGCTCAGTGACACACAAAAAAGTTGTTCCATTTTTTGCCTGGATCTGGTGCTGCTGTTGCTGCTAATGAATTCTGTCAATAGCACGGCGGTAATGAAGCTGAACTTTTTCTTAATTTTTTACTTTACTTTTCAACTCGCTACAAATGCCTGAAGCAGTTCTGAAGCAGTAAATATTACGTGAACGGCTGTCGGGATGCTCCGCAATGTTTCTGTGCATCATTTTCGTCTCCGCCTTCTGTTATTAATAGGTGATGATGCTGTGTACAGTTGGTGTTGCGCCACAATCTCACGCGATCAGATGTGTTGTTGTTGTCAGGCAGCTCTTGAGATGCTGCTGCTGTTGCCGCCGTTGATAGTGCCGCCAAGACGAGACATGACATGATTACATTGTACAGCGTTTGTCTTCTCGATGTTGATGCCCATGTTCACCGCCGAACAACCGAAATAGCACTCAACAGCGACCAACTAACTAACCAGATTCTTGCTCTGATCAGAAAGATGTTCCCCTCACTGCAAAGATGTTCACTTCCCTCTCTGGTAAACTGTCACCGCCAAATTACATTTACATTAGCCCATATGTCAATTAACGTTCCACTACTTTTTCTTTCTTCTCTTCCTCTGAATTGACAACATTTTTCTGTTGTTGTACCGCTCTAGCATCGTCTTTTTCAAGGCTACCACCACTCTCAAGTGTTCATGCAGTCGAGGCAGTTTTGTGCTCACCACATCAACCGGCACTTGTCGAACACTAATCAACTCACTGTCAATGCGTCAACCAGACAGCGAATCAGTGTCATTCAGTGGACGGGTCAGCATGCACAGACATGCAAAGCACACCATTTCTCCACTTCAGCTGCACAAGAACAGCAGCAGCAGCATCCAATTGTCCTGGTCACTGAAGACGAGGGTCCGCTTAGTGGAGTGCGTCGGGTGACGCTAAACAACCCCAAAAAGAGGTACAACAAATTAGGCTAAAGCTTTAACGACTTTCAGATTCATTCTCAGCTGTGATCTACTTTTCTGAAGAGTGATGCCTATTGTTGCTTATTTTCAATTGAATTGCACTTGCACTTGCCTTCTCATCAACTCAATCTCGACATATTTGTACTCCATAAAGCTTTTAACTAATTAGACTTGCATCGTCGCCGCTTTTCGCGGGAATATAATGCAACCTGACAGCATCATCATCAGAAGCAGCCACTTTTCTTCGCTTTTTTTCTGCTGAAAAAACTGATGATCCATGCAGCGAAACGATGAAAGTGCTTTGATGTGCCTTCTCTTTGGCTTTTCTTTCTGCCTCGATAAGTAGTGACTCGATTAGGCATTCAGCAGCAACAACAACAACCAACAGAATACTATTACATTATTAATCGATTCTATTTGCCTGCATATCTTGACTTGAATACCTCTTCAGTTTGTTTGAGCTCAGACTGATCCTAATGGTTTCTCACTCTACACATCAGTTTTTTGTGAAAGTTTGCTTGCTTGCTTGCTGCATCGATGATCTATATTAGCTACGATCTGAAAGGGAATTATGCAGATAGGGCACGGCACTTTGCCTACTTTGTCCTGCTTTTTGTGTCGGTGTATGTATGTGTGTGTGAACTAGAGTACAGTCGACTTGACAAACATTTCAGCACACCGATACATTGTGTAATGATGCTTTTGGGGAGAGATGCAGATCTGAAAAAATGCAAAGAAGTGCTTTCACTTTTCGTACTCTTGGCGTACAGTAATTGCATTTGCGCTCACTCGACTAACCTGCCACGGCACTGTCTAATGAAAATATTTTTTTCATATCTTTCTGGTCTGCCACAGGCTGCTGTCATCAAGTAGTATTGATTTATGAGAATCCTTTTTCTGCATCTGTCTGGACAGATATTGTATCTGATTGTATCATTAATTTTTCAGTAATATAAGCGTCATGTGCAAATTACTTCAGTCTTCATATTGCCTCTAACTGGTGGTGCACCTAGCAATTGTCTACACTTCTCTGGTTACCAAATTGCCCGAATCTGTTCTGTAATTCTGGTCATTTTGCATCATGATCTGTCATTTGAAAGTCCAAACTGTACAACAGCATCATTTTTGGACCAAGCCATTGGCACAAACAGAACAAAATGTTACTCTAAAATCAAGTGCACGATGGCCTGTTATTCACATGGCACTAGTTTTTTGGGAAGCGATAAAGGCAAAACATTTGTGAAACAGGCATAACTAAAGCAAATTCATTTCATTTTTGATTGTCGATTTTGGTAAAAGATTATGATGATGATGATGATGGATATGTCAGGCTCAGTGATGTCTGGATCAATAATTCATTCATTTAGTCAATGCTGATGCACAGTTGTTTGACCTTTGCAGTGGAAAAAGGTAGACAAAATTCTAATTTGCCTGGTCAAGCAGCATCACTTTAGTTACTCAATCTAATCGGTCTTAATTTTAATTTTTTTTGTTTATGACCCACTCAGAAACGCTTTGTCACTGGGCATGATTGAACAGCTGGCTCAGCATTTGCAGCAGGACCCAGAGGGCAAGTTGAGGGCCATTGTGATCAACGCCAACCACGGTGGAAAGGTTTTCTCTTCGGGACACGATCTCAAGGAGATGGTAAGTGCAAACACATTTTTCTTCCTCCGCCTTGCACTAACAATTGTCTTGTCACTGTTAATTACTCATTTGGAAGTAGTAGTGCACTGCACTAATTGAGTTTGTCGACAGCCTATTGTTCACATAAAAATACAGCGCAGCTCATCTGCATATTCTACAAAAAAAGACAGAATCGTTGTCGTGAACTGAATCGATAGTCAGCAGTGTGTCAGCAGACTTTGCACTAGCTACTCTTTTATTACGACTGTACATTTACTCAATGTGAACGTAGTAGTATGCCACACTTGAATATGATCTCAATAGATCATGACCCCCAGCACTTGACAGATCGACTGCGCACTTTTCTTTCATTCAATTCAGGTCTAGAAATAAAACACCACAGAATGCATTAGAAAATGTATAATTTAGGGCTGGTAGTTCCCCTCCTATTCATTTCGACACACCATTATATCAATGGCTATTGCATCAATTGGCACTGCATCTTTTTTAAAGTGTTCGTGCTCTTGTTATATTTTTTTTCTCAAGACCGATTTTGGCAACACTACAAAATACTGCTTTCCACTGCCTTCCTTTTTGAATGTTTTATGTTTTTTAACATCCACCCCCTATTCAACAAGGCAATTCATTCGATTATTTACCGAATTGACAGCGGCAGCATGCTTAGATAATCGAGTTCCGACAGCTATAAAATATGGCTTTCTCTGCATTGCCGTGTCGAGTGCCGTTGAAGAAGTTGTATTCGTAGTCTGAGATACTATGTAACCTTTAGCAATGACCGTTTGTAGTAAATGCATGCATGCCCCAATAGTCAGTAAACGATGTGCAGTCTGAAAACTTTGTTTTTTGTTCAGTCACTTTTGAATCTCTTTATCAACTCTGGTGGCGGATTTGATTTGGATTGATGTTTATTTTATACATTGCTATTATGAATTTATTATTTTTATTTATAGTTTTTTTTGTATGTCTGCAAAAGGCAATTTAGATGTGTGTGGTGTTTGTGTTTAGGGTTGTGTGGTGTTTGTGGGTAAACTAGGGCTCGATGTGGCAAAAGGATTTGTAGGCATTACTGTCAGTCGGCAATATTTAGGCTGTTTTAGTTTTTTTAAAAATGATGGTTTTTGGGCAAGCACGCAGTGGTTGTTTTTTTTGTTGAAATGATTGAATTTATACTTGATTGAATTGAGGTTTCTTTCTTTTTACCCATCATGTTGTTAATATTTGCTTTTTGTTGTCTTCACATCGTTTTTGTTTTCCATTGTGTTTTTGAGTAGACAAAAAAAGATGAAGTATGAGATCACATTACATTTATGATTACCTTCATTTTAAAGTTTAAATTCAAATTGTAATTTATGAGGTGATATTCTCTGGCGTTTTAATAAAAATAAAAATGAACATTGAGTAGAATCGGAAGTAGAAGATGATACCCTAAGACAGTACTGTCCAAATACTAAGACACAAAAAAAGATGTTTTTGTCTGTTCTTTTTTTCATTTTATTTTTTCAGTCCTCATTGACTCACAACACCACACACACAATTTTGTAGTAACTTTGTTGCAGCAGACTTTTCCAATGGAAGGCCCACTACTTTTTATTAGGGAATGGTAGTTATCCTTGGCATCGTAATTTAATATCTATGCCATTTCATTTTGTTTCGTTTTGTTCCAGTATCTTTACAATTGAACTTCTGCAACATCCCAGCAGCCAGCAACGTTTGCCTTTGTGTCTGTGGCACTGGCAACTTTGCAGTTGGCCATTAAAATGATGGCAGATTTTGCAATTTGTTCCTAGACTGAACTCGATTATACAGCCATCTTTCTCTTGTCGATTTAATTAGTAGTTTTGCGAGGGTTCGCTTACCATTCCTTGAACCACAGGCAGAGGCAGGAGGAAAACGAAGAGGAGGGGAGGGTTTAGAGTTAAGGGGTAAAAATGGGCTGCTGCTTGCTTATTCAATTCGATACTCTGTTTTTTACTTTGCAGCAGAAGCAGGATAACCTAATCGAATTAGGGCACTGCCTGCCAGTGTTTCTTTTTCTTCTTTAATTCCGCAACTAACTCTTCTCCCACTTCATCTTGACATATGTCAGTGTTGTTGCTGCTGCTGCTCCTGTGTGTGTCTATGTAAATTTCTTTCTAATTTCTCTAGTTCGATATAATAATCCCGTGGTAGTGGTGTTGGAAGGCTTCTTCATTCACTTATTTCACTGGCACTGCACACATTCTCTGGCCAGTGAAATGAGTAGAAAGAGAATCCCATTACTGAATTTAATTGCCAATGAAAAGATTTAAATTAAATTAACTGCAGTACAAGTTTGGCTGGCAACAACCAAGAGGACATACAGGCAATTGAGCAGACTTGTATGTCACGAGTGCTGCCGTTGAAAGAAAGGTACATTTGCAAGGCCAATGCCAGTGCTCTACATTACACCAGAAATTGCTTTTTAGGGAAAAATTGTGCTTTCACTGAGTTTCATTGTCAGCCCAGTTTTAGAAAATAGAAAATCAGTGTTGAACAGAACGATTAGATCGCATCGCTGAGCATCCACTGGTGGTCACTGCAGCACTTCCCAGTGGCCATTTCACTTCAATTGAATGGTGCTGTTTATTATTATTATTAATAATTAACTTTGTACTGTTCACTTTGTACTCGCCTATCTGTTCGCCTTTTGCTGGGCACTAAAATTCTGTTCTCCTTTGTGTGATGACATCGCAATTAAACGGCGTTTTATCGCCCCTTTTTGTGCACCACAATTGGCGCCCATTTGACGAGTGAATGGCGGAGAACCGAATTCAATTCTCTGATTCAGCAAAAGCACAAGCATTACTGCCACCACTGTTGTTCAGTAGTAGTAGTAGACTTGCTCACTTCTTCTTTAGTAGGTCATTAAAGTCAGCCACTTTGTTGCAGTGAAAGTGCTGACCACTATCACTGGCACTAGCTCGTTCAGTTTTGGAATTGATAGTCTGGTAGTGTTTTTCAGTTTTCACCACTGTTGTCAGTAACCCTGTTGGCAAACAAAAGAAAAACTGAATTACTTGATGGAACAAATGTGTGTGTGTGTTTGTGTGTTTTCATTTATCTATTCACTTTTTAAGCGGACAAATTGCTGACACGCATACTCATTTGAGAGCAAGTCCTTTGTCACTTTTCTCACTTACCCTCTCATTACCAGCTCACCAGATCACTGTGTTCAGCGTTCGCAATAGTCTGCGTTTAGTGTTGCAGACACTGTCGGATCAGCAGATTTAAATTGTATAGTAGCGAAAAACTTTTTTGTTTGTCCTCTTGTTTGTCATTCACAATGTGCACACATTTCAAAGAATTTCCCATTTTGCAAACGTACGTTTCTGCACCAGTGCTTATTGAGTTGTCGTGTTTTCACTTTGTTTTGTGTCACTTCACTCTGGTACACCTTGTCATTTGTTCTACTCCCTTTCCTCCCCTTCTTTTAAACTTTTCATTTAATTTCAACTGTACAATTGTAATCACCACTTTGTATGTCATAGGCAACGCTAAACAGCGAGCAGTCTCGGCATATTTTTGAGCGGTGCAGTGATTTGATGTTGACCATTCGAGCCTCGCCGGTGCCGGTGATTTGTCAAGTGGACGGTGAGTGGGCAGCATCAGCTCAGCATGGCAATTTTAATAAATTTTTTCTTTTTTTTCTCCTTGCGCAACAACCCTAACCATCATGGCACACTACACTCTTCTAATTGCTTCTTCTGCTCCTGCTCTTGTGGCAGGTCTGGCGGCGGCCGCCGGCTGTCAGCT